AATATATAATCAAAGAAAGGTAATACAGTGTTCGAATAAACGACATAATAATACACCGTGTAGCAAGTTCTCTTGGTTTATCTTATATATAGGCCTATATATATGTGTGTGTGTGGGTGTGTGTTAGTGTGTGTGTTCCAATCTCGATAGATAGTACCAAATGATTTTCTAATAATATGAACAACACTGTTCTTCAAATTTTTCATATATTTAAGGATATGATCAGTTCTTGCTTATTTGTTGTCTGATATGTTTTTTTAAGAGAAAACTGAATAAATCAAATCAAAATCAAATGGCGATGCCAGAAAATGTTTTTATCTAAATAAAGTTACGGCAGAATATTTTTACTGGTGTTTCTGGTGATTAACCTTATGTACAGCGAAACAGCGTGGAGGATTTAAACACAACGCACCACACAAATTTGTCCCGCTTTTGGTGACTCGTTTAAAAACTAAACGTATTTTAGTTGTGGCCTAATTTGTTTAAGTTTCTGAGGTATTTGTCCGAACATTTGTTTAAGTATGCCTATTTAACATCATGATATCAAATACTTAAGCACATTATAAAGTGATAAACATGTCAAGATCATAAGTACGTTAAGCAATACGTTTAGCTTGTAAACGTCTCACCAAAATCGGGACAGAATTGCGTTGAGCTTTGTGTAATCCTCCCCGCTGTTTTTAAGTATATACAATTATATATCATACAAAGCACCTACAACTAAAGTAAGCCAATTTATCTTTAAACATCTTAAGCTCTTACATGTCTCGCAATTGTACCCGGAATAACACGACTTGCATGTACATTCGTAGGTGCATACATCTGTCGTTGACACTTCAGTGCATGTTCCTCCGTTACAATTAACGCCATTACAAGGATTATTGTCTGAGATATAAATAATTGTTGATTACAAGACAATTAGAAGCATATAAACAAATCAGTTGCCATAATTAAATTCTCATACTAATATCCCCCATGGAATTTTCAGAGTAGCACGTTTAGTACTGGCACTAGAAGCCATTTTTGATATTCAGCATGTATTTCGGAAACATTGTAACATAAAAATTGCTTTACTTGAATATAAAAATTCAACTTCAGTATCCATCATGAGATAATAATATTTATTAAGATTTTGTTCAGAATAAATAATTGATCTATTTGCTGAATAAAATCATCTAAAGCAAAATATTTCCATATCGATAGGTTTTGAAGGGAATTTCCTTACATTCTGTACATTGATTTCCAGAGTAACAGGAATCACACTGGCAGTAATAGTTACAGTCAAGTGCAAAACACGACCCGTAATCACCACACGGCTTATCATCACATGGATTATTATCTGAAAATTAATATAGTTTACTGTAAGTATTATCTCCATCATTGTCATCATCTGCAATGTTATCATTATTATTATTATTATTATATTATTATTATTATTATTATTCCAGTCATTGTGCTGAGGAAGACCGTGGCATACGGTCGAACATTTTATGGTAAGGAAATTTGTTTGTGTTGTGATCAAAAGTTTAAACTTTTAGTACATTCAAATACCAACACAGATAAGCTATTTTTCGATTATTATTATTATTATTAGTCATATTGTCACTTAATATCAACTCACCGCAATGACCATCATCATCAGTATCCTCATTATTATCACAACCACCAGCATCATCATCATTATCATCATCATCCTCATCATCATCATCATCATCATCATCTTTGTTACGTACTTCATTTTTCATAATTATTATCATCATTGTCATATAATAATCAACATTATAATTAACAATTTTCAACAAATTAGTAGATCTCAATGGTTTTAATGAATTGGCCTACATCAAAATTGAAAGACAAAATACTGAAGCGCAACAAAGATAATGAGAAACAATGAGCATATTAAAAAAAAGAAGAAAGATGAGTATCAATATTAATATTAAAAAATAAAAGAAAACATATGTCATCGTGCTTACATGATTGGCAATATTCTCCTGAATAGCACGATGGACATGTACAGTCGTAGCTACACACATCGGTCGTTGATATTTCGGTACATGTTCCACTATTACAGTCAGCACTATCACAAGGATTTAGGTCTATGATACAATTGATATGACAAACAATTATGACAAAATTAGTTTAACAATTTACATGGATATATACTATTTATGTATATTAACTTGCCAGATTCAATAATAATTCTGACTGGTCACTTAGTACATAAACTACAACATATTAATTCAAGTATGTACAGTACTTGTCCGTTGAAATTTAAATTTAAATTTTAATTTTTTGGCGGGTCCTAGAACGAAAATATCCATACATTATATTCAGATGTACCCAGAAACATTCAGAAGAATGTATCGGACTGAAAACTGTCATATTAGCCAGGTCTATGCATTCATTCAAATTGCAGTACCCTATATAGCTAAACAATGCACTAGCAATATCGTGTCACTTTCTCTATACTTACAGTACTGGCATTGGTCCCCTGAGTAGCATGCTTGACATTTACACCAGTAGTTGCAACCCTCGGAGAGGCATAGACCGTTATATTTGCAAGGTGAAGAATCACATGGATTGTCATCTGAAAGTGTATCACAAAATATTTTTTTCAATAGAGATTGTGTCGTCCTAATGCAGGTCTCTCTCTAATTAAAGACCCCTGAATGACCACCTCCCATTTAAGACCACTTCCCTGTGGTCCTAAATTAACAAATGTATTTTATCCTTATTATTGTAATTAGTGACGAAAGCCGCTAAAGTCCATAATTGTTCTTTAATTGGATGGAGACTTGTATTTTTTGGTCTTCATCGGCTTAATAAGTAGGGATTGTCTCCCAGTATACTGAAAATATTCACTAGAAGCACTTTGGATTCTGTGATGAACAACAAAAATACTCTTATCTTATCCTATCCTTTCCTATTCCACAGTATTATATTTTATTTAAGATGCAGTTGTGTCTCCATTCTAAAACCATGCCTAATGCAAGTATAATAGTAATATAGTTTTATGTGCCTATTGTGTTCATCATTATTTTATCTATATCAGAATAACCATAATCTGGATTTAAATTTAACCTAGGTTGAGAGTTCCCGACTTACATATTTCACAGTATTGGCCAGAGTAACAAGATGCCTGGCATTGACAACTAGGTCCAGTTACGGGAACCAGGTAGCAGACTCCATTATTCTTACAGTCCCATGTTTCACATGGATCTATAACTGAAAACAACAATAATACGATAATTACGGTAAACGTTGACATCCAACAGCAAGGACTTTTTTAACGATTACCGCGTGTTCTTCACCTATAGATACCATAATATTTTTTTATGTATCATTCTGTGAAGTATTGGTGTTATTTATGGTACTCATAATTATACTGATGTTTTTAATTTAGTTGTATACATATGTTTTCTCTCTTTTCTACTTTTATATTCTACATTATCGTCTGTATGTTGATCATGCTATTCATTGGAGGCAATTGTCAACAAAACTGAATTAAATTGAATTGAGGGGAACCAAAGGCTGTCTCTTATACACATCGTGTATAAGAGACAGATATTATAATGAAGTAAAAATGTAATAATTTTATGAAACGAATTTTTCCAATCAATTGTTGCTTACATTGATCGCACAGGTTTCCCGAGTAGTAGGGCGGACACTCAATGCATTTAAATGAACATAGTACGTCAGTGGATATTTCAACACAACGACCTCCATTGCAGTTAACTCCATCACATGGATTGTTGTCTAGATAAAGATAAGGCTCATGTAATAATAATAATAATATAAAGATATGCAGCTCTGTAAACTTAATATTAATGTATTTTCATTTCACACCACATGATCATCGATATTATCATCATCATTATAACTTTCAACATACGAACAATTATAAATTGACTAAAGGGCCGGAGTGGCTGACAGTGGTAGGGCTAATATACAGGGAAATGGAGCTCGTGGCAGTGAGTCGGTGACAGGCTGTAAAAGCCCGGAACCTCAGAAATTACAAATGAATTTTGGGAATCAGGTCAGTTAGAAAACATCATACAACTTACAAGTTGTACATAGGCCTCCAGTGTAGCAAGGTAGACAGAGGCACTGAAAGTTGCATTCGTTAGCAACACATGTCCCATAATCACCACAAGGGTTATATTCACAAGGATCACTATCTGAAATGATATACAATAATAAAGATAACATGTAGTTATGGGCCTATATTTCAGTTTTAACACATCATCTAAAGAGGAAAGTATAATTATGTATACTTGCAATATTACTTACAATTTTCGCACCATGTTCCAGAATAGCACGTTGGGCATTGACACTGAAATCCACATTGGTCATTGGTTGTTGTTACTTGACAAATACCTCCATGTTTACATACGACACTTTCACATGTGTTTTGATCTAAATAATAGAAAATAGTAACTTGGTAAAATCTATTATACTAATTTCAAGATATATATTATTGTAAGTGTTTATTAAAATAATGATATGATTTAATTCAAATATTTAATTTAATATGTTATCCAAAGTTCAATATCACCATTATCTTCGTCGTCAATCCATATTGTTAGTCAAGCTCCGGAGGGAAAAAAATCACAAAAACCTATTTGACGAAAAACGCAGGGACGGTTAATGAGATACATATTTTTGAATATTTAAACTGTTGAAAAAAAAAGTGGAGAAGGGGTGGTTACGATCTCTCCCACCAGTTTTTAAATATTCAAAATTCTGTATCTCATTAACCTTTCCAGAGTTTGTCGTCAAACTGCTTTTTTTGTGTCGTAGAAAAATCAGTTCTAAAATACATTAATATTTTTCTCCTGATAATCGTCAAGCATCATCCGTATTCTTATTTGTATCTTCTATTCATCCTAATCTTTCCAAAGAAATCATCATAGCCACCGTTCGTCATCGTTGTATTCGTCACCCAGAAGGTAAAAGAAAACCAAAAACGTCGACTTGTGCGGTGTCAAAAGTAAGCCATTATATTTTAAGGTTGGCAATTAAGTCAAGTATATATATATAATAAATGTGAGAATAAGTAACCATACATACATGTTTCACATAAGCTTCCAATATAGCAAGTTTTACAGACGCACTGAAAATCGCACCCGTTTGCAACACATGCTCCATTAGCACCACAAGGGTTACTTTCACAAGGGTTTTTGTCTTCAATGAAAAGAAATAACAATAATTACAACCCAGTTATATTGTACTGAACAATAATAGATTAATATACTTGTATTTATATAATGCATTCATGCTTACAGTTATCACACCAGGTTCCAGAATAGCACGTTTGACATTGACACTGGAATCCACACTGTCCATTATTTGTTGTCACTTGGCAAGTACCACCATATTTGCATTCGACTCCTTCACATGTGTTTTGATCTAAAATACAGCAATATGTCAAATTATTACTAATTTATGTAAATTAAAATAGAGTTGTGTCACTGTAAGAGGTAATGACTATTAAAAAAATAATATTGATTATCAATCATATCTTTATTTATTTAGATATTTGAATATTTACATCATCGCATTCGTCACTGTCGATCATAATTATCATCAATGTCATAATAATCCACCCATATTAGGTTTCAACAAGTAGGCCTATACGCTTAGTTACAATTGATTGTATGGAATGTTCCATCTAATATTCTAAGTCAGAATACGTTTTAATACATACATGTTTTACATAAGTTTCCAATATAACAGGTATGGCAGATACACTGAAAATTGCATCCGTTTGCAACACACGTTCCATAATCACCACAAGGGTTATTTTCACAGGGGTCACTATCTGCAGTGTAAAAAATAGCGATTATTATGGTAATATTTATGCTAGTACACATGTAACACGTTTAAGTACAAACATGCAATCCTACTTACAGTTGTCACACCATGTTCCAGAATAACACACTGGGCATTGACACTGGAATCCACACTGTCCATTACTCCGTGTTACTTGACAAATTCCGCCATATTTACATACGACAGCATCACAGGGGTTAAAATCTGGTAAGAAATATGAACAAAATAGACTAAATGTTAGGTAATTGTTAATTAACGTCCTATTGTATTAGAAATAATTGTATTTTTGTTTAGAGTAGTATTTAATATTTACAAAAAGATTTAATTACAACTTACAGGTTTCGCACGATGTTCCAGAATAGCACGTTTGACATTGACATTGGAATCCACATTGACCACTGGTTGTTGTCACTTGGCAAGTACCACCGTGCTTACATACGTCACCATCACAAGTGTTTTGATCTAATTATTGTTAAACAAACGAGCAATAAACAAGCATTTAGTCGAATATGGTTATGTATATTATAAATTGTAATACAATATGGTATCTTCTACTTAGGTGGCGTCCTCGTTTCCCGACAGACTAGGTTATGTCAATTCAGGAAGCCACACACTGACAAACTCAGGATGCGCACTGTTTCTGCGTTTGAAAACATTATTTTCTACTTCATTTCTTGACAGATTTCCCACTTCACACTGACGGCTTTGTCAGGTGACCCAAAACGGCTGGACTCGGCCCTACCTGGATCACCACTCCTCGCCCAACCCCAATCTAACATTTACAAAAACCTATTATATCTTACAGTTTTCACACCAAGTTCCAGAATAGCAAGTTGGACATTGGCACTGGAATCCACACTGACCATTGGTTGCTGTCACTTGGCAAACACCACCGTGTTTACATACGTCGCCCGCACAAGTGTTTTGATCTAGCAAAACAAAATAAAAATATATAAATTGCGGTAAATTCACGTGGCAAAATAATTTATTTGAAATATTTTAATTAAGAATTTAACAATAATTTCGTAAAAAGTGAATTAATAATAATATTTAAACATATCTTACAATTTTCACACCAATTTCCAGAATAGCAGGTTGGACATTGGCATTGGAATCCACATTGACCATTGGTTGTTGTCACTTCACAAGTACCACCGTGTTTACATACGTCGCCCGCACAAGTGTTTTGATCTAGCAAAAATAAATTGTGGTAAATTGACGTAGCAAAACAAAATATTTGAAAAGTTTGTATTAAAAGTCAAACCATAGTGTCAAAAAAAGTGATTTAATAATAATATTTAAACATAGCTTACAATTTTCACACCAAGTTCCAGAATAGCATGTTGGGCATTGGCACTGGAATCCACACTGATCATTGGTTGTTGTCACTTGGCAAACACCACCGTGTTTACATACGTCGCCCGCACAAGTATTTTGATCTAGCAAAACAAAATAAAAATAAATAAATTGCGGTAAATTCACGTTGCAAAATAATTTATTTGAAATATTTTAATTAAAAATTAAACAATAATTTCGTAAAAAGTGAATTAATAATAATATTTTTAAACATATCTTACAATTTTCACACCAAGTTCCAGAATAGCAGATTGGACATTGGCATTGGAATCCACATTGACCATTGGTTGTTGTCACTTCACAAGTACCACCGTGATTACATACGTCGCCCGCACAAGTGTTTTGATCTAGCAAAAATAAATTGTGGTAAATTGACGTAGCAAAATAAAATATTTGAAAAGTTTGTATTAAAGGTCAAACCATAGTGTCAAAAAAGTGATTTAATAATAATATTTAAACATAGCTTACAATTTTCACACCAAGTTCCAGAATAGCATGTTGGGCATTGACACTGGAATCCACACTGGTTATTGGCTGTTGTCACTTGGCAAATACCACCGTGCTTACATACTTTTCCCGCACAAGTGTTTTGATCTAGCAAAACAATAATTTGTGTAAATTCAAGTTGAAAAAAATTTATTCGAAATACTTTAATTAAAAATCAAACCAAAATGTCGTATAAAGTGAGTTAATAATAATATTTAAATATAGCTTACAATTTTCACACCAAGTTCCAGAATAGCACGTTGGACACTGGCACTGGAATCCACACTGACCATTGGCTGTTGTCACTTGGCAAGTGCCACCATTACATATGTTACCGGTACCTTTACAAGTGTTTTGATCTGACAGATTTAAATCAAACTAACACTATGAACTAATGGTTTATAAGAAGAGTAGTATAAAAAAAATCGAAAACATTATAATGTTTTCTCAATTACAATAAAATAGCTAACAAAATCTTACAATTTTCACACCAAGTTCCAGAATAGCACGTTGGGCATTGACACTGGAATCCACACTGGCCATTGGTTGTTGTCACTTGGCAAATACCACCGTGTTTACATACGTCACCCGCACAAGTGTTTTGATCTAGAAAACGAATAATATGTGTAAAGTCACGTTGAAAAAACAAATGTAAAAAAAAAACTAATCGAAATATTTTAATTGAAAATCAAACCAAAATGTCGTATAAAGTGAGTTAATAATAATATTTAAATATAGCTTACAATTTTCACACCATATTCCAGAATAGCACGTTGGGCACTGACACTTGAATCCACACTGACCATTGGCTGTTGTCACTTGGCAAGTGCCACCATTACATATGTTACCTTCACAAGTGTTTTGATCTGACAGATTTAGATCAAACGAACACTATGAACTAATGTTTTATAAAAACATGGGTAGTATTACAAATTCGAAAACATTATATCTTCTCAATAAAATATAATATCTAAAAAAATCTTACAATTTTCACACCAAGTTCCAGAATAGCACGTTGGGCACTGACACTGGAATCCACACTGACCATTGGTTGTTGTCACTTGGCAAACACCACCGTGTTTACATACGTCGCCCGCACAAGTGTTTTGATCTACCAACAAATAAATTCTAGTAAATTCAAGTTGACAAAAATTGTATTCGAAACAATTTTAATTGAGAATCAAACCATAGTGTCGTATAAAAAATTAGTTCATTTCAATATAACTTACAATTTTCACACCAAGTTCCAGAATAGCACGTTGAACATTGGCACTGGAATCCACACAGACCATTGGTTGTTGTCACTTGGCAAATACCACCATTACATACGTCACCCTCACAAGTGTTTTGATCTTTAAAAAAAATTAAATCAAACAAATAATATTAACTAATGTTTTAGAAGTACATGTGTAGTAGATATTACAAATTCGAAAACACTATGTTATCTTCTACAATTGTAATAAAATATCTATCAAATCTTACAATTTTCACACCAAGTTCCAGAATAGCAGGTTGGACATTGGCACTGGAATCCACACTGACCATTGGTTGTTGTCACTTCACAAGTACCACCATGCTTACATACGTCGTCCTCACAAGTGTTTTGATCTGAAAAAAAAAATCAGTAATAGATAATATAAATTAGTGCGCTAATGTATAACCAATGTTACCATCATGTAAAGCAAATAAATGTTGATCAGTTATTTAATATACTATAGCTTACAATTTTCACACCAAGTTCCAGAATAGCAAGTTTGACATTGGCATTGGAATCCACACTGGCCACTTGTTATCGCCAATTGACAAATACCACCATATTTGCATACGACATCATCGCATGGATTTTGGTCTGATCAAAGAGAAACAAATACATAAAACAAAACAAAAAATAATAAAAAAAATGATGGAATTAACACTCAAACATTTTAATTAAAATTTAGGATTTACCTATGTTGATTTGCGCAGACGTATAGACCGTTTCATGGGATTTATTTTGAAACAACGTCGCCAATGTCTCGCAACTCACTGGGGGACTTCCAGCGGTCTAGTCTGAGCAGCTGGCTAGTTAGGAATAGAGCACCGCGCAGCGGATAGCACTGCTAGACCTTTGCCATAACAGCAGTAGACAACAAATACGATATTGCTAATTACTGTAAATACTGTACATGTAAAACATTGAAATAGCTTTTTAAGACTTAGACTTGTTTTTAATGTTTTTAATTTTTTAACACATTTCGTGTTTTTTCCGTATTAAAATATTTGTACTCTTAAGTAATCGCTGATTTAATCCATGATGGTAAGTATGTAGAGCAAAATGCTAGGCCTCTAAAAGTCCCACATTTTCATTTCAAATTTCGCGAAAATGGTGTATATCTTTAATTTAATATAAAATGATAATACATAATCAAATCTTACAGTTTTTAACAATTGTCCTCACAACACTCGGTATAGCTTATACTAGCTGTTTTCTTAGTAAATGGTGCGTGTTATTTCAGAATATATGTGGCTTTCAGTCAGTGTAACTAAAACACTAATCGTTATTGAATTAACTTACATTGTTCACACAAAATGCCAGAATAACATTCTTTGCATTGACAAACAGCTTGGTGGTCGAATGTTACCACACACGTTCCTTCGTTTTTACAGTTGATAAATGTACATGGATTAGTATCTGAAACAATATAAAGCATTAACATCAACTATTATTGAATTAACATAAATAATATCATCGAGGGAGATTTAATAGCAAATCTTTAAAGCGACTGGACCTTTGTGCAAGATGAAGCTAGTTGAGAACTGCAATCTATACACTTAATAGTGTCACTAAAACATTTTTCTTTCAAAAGCTCATTACAAAAAAATCCGAAGACTTCGGGCACCACTTCTTGGCGTTACAGGACATCGGGCTGACGCAGTCTGGAAGCCATTCGTGCCAAAATATATAAATAAATTAAAAATTGATAGTGAAATATAAGATCAGAATTAAGGACTAAAACAAGTATTGCATTTGTTGCAAATGTATTGCCTGATATATTTATAAATGCTCGTATTGATCTTTTAACAATTTTAAAAATGCTAAGATCTGGATGTTAATGTATTTTTTCTGGCTTATGTATGTTGCTCGTTTTTATGAATTGTGAATGTTATTGTTGAATTTTTGTATTGGCCCTGAACAGGTTTCCCAGTATAAAGAATAAATAAATAAATAAAATAAATATAGGTTCTAGTAGATGATTCGATGGTGAGTCGATAGTCCAATGGTGGTCAGTGTCTTCTAAGATTCAATAAAGCATGTTGTAATAGGCAAACGCCTACAATTTGCAAGTTATTTTTAGCACCGACACACTATTGTATTCCTACAGTATAACTAGGTCATTGCCAGCATAAATTGTAATACGTAGGATAAAATGTGAAAGGACTGAAGACGTTTGGTCAATTCAAGTGACGGCTTTCCTTTTTGATGATTCACCACAAAAGCTCGCCAAGTACCTACTTCAAATTGTTTTGATAAATGTCAATTATTCTTATAGAGGCCGACTGATTTATTGAAAATTATTACACTGTTGATCGTAATAATGATTATGCTGATAAGACAAGATAAAACGTTACTGTTGAACTTAAATTTGGTTAAAAATAATATTCATAGTATAACATTATAATATAATATTATATTATATGATTGTATGTTGAAGGATAGTGGATGTAATTTGGGAACGTCTATAATTGGATAATGTTATTCCGTTGTCCGTTTACACATTTTTATACGATATTTACCAAAATAAAATTTTTATTTGTAATTTAAACACTTAAAATAATAATGTAGAGTACCTAGTAAGTACTTTCTTTTAGTGTTAATTTTTAATATTGAAAGTAGAATTTAATTGAATTTTTACAACAATTAATCCTTTTCAAACACATTATAAACTGTAAGTATATAATATTTTGGTAGCTTTAAGTCGAAAGAACTGACCACGGGCATTGATTTTCACAGACTTCATAGTAGTCATCAGACTTTTTCTACGACATGTTTAGGCCTACTACATAATGGTTTAGCCATGACTTCAAGGGTTAAATTTAGTTGAAGACATACTTGTTTCGTCATGAACTGACTATTTTTGGCTATTAGATATTATTAGTTATTATTACAATGTTGTACGTATACAATATACCAAATACGTTATAATTGTATCACAAATAAATAATCTTATACAGTTTATATACTTACATGTTTCACAATTATTTCCTGAGTAGCTATACGGGCAGTTTGTACATTCGTAGGTGCACCTAGTGGTAGTCGAAATGACTTCACACTGACCGCCATTACAGTTTACCCCATCGCAAGGATTATCATCTAAGTAGAAAAAATTTGGCGTCATAATGTATTTGTATTAGTGTTTTTATTTTTACTAACAATTTTCCATTACTGAATAATCCTAGATATGTGTATTTAACTAAGGTAGAACTCTAAAGTGTTTACATAAGGGTTCTTTTGGTGTTTGTCTTAATATAATTATTACCATTTCTTGTAGGGTAAATGGTAGTCGACAATGACTAATTTACATTCGAAAATAACAGAAAGTATTTTATTAAAAGTATAGAAACAAACTTACAAACTTCGCAATTATCCCCAGAAAAGCACGCTCGGCAGCTGCACCAATAGTTACAAGACTCAGCTGAACAAGCACCACTATTTTTACAGGGGTTTCCATCGCATGGATTGTCATCTAAACTCAACACAAACATTCACTTTTTGTTAAAATATACTGGCAATTCTAGTTGCATTAAGACATTTAAAATATTATTTATTGAAAACAAAATACATATGGAATTATGGATGAGAATATTTAAATACAAAAACATTTGAAATATTGAGCTTACATTGTTCACAGTGTGATCCTGAGTAGCAATCCTGGCACTGACAGCTAACCTCACGTGCGTAATAATTGACGTAGCAATTCCCGCCATTCTTACAATCAAATGATTCACATGGGTTATCTTAAAAAATACATAAAAAAAGCTGTCACGAATAATGATATAATTGTTTTTTTATAAAAGTAACTTGGTCATATATTAAATTAATATAAGTGTTAATATTGTAAATAACTCACATATTTCGCAGTAACTTCCAGAGTAGTATTGGGGACAGTTGGTACAATAATATGAACATTCGGTAAATGTCGAAATTATATTGCACTGACCGCCATTACAATTTACTCCATTGCAAGGATTATTATCTTTAAAAGAGAAGATATTTCGTCAAAACGTCATGAGAATGTGAAAACAGTTAATTTTCAGTTGCTAGCCATATATATA